TGCCGCCAGAACATCTATTAATTATACAGCTAGACTCGCTCACTCGCCTCCCCTCTCTCTCGCTCCCTCTCTCTCTCTCTCTCTCACTCTCTCACTCTGCTTCATTCCTTTCAATTCATTTCATAATTACAACAACACAAAGCGACAGCAGCTCGTCCCATGGCCGCAACTCAAAAACTATGCAGAGCTATGGACACGTAGTGGCTTCAAGTGGTGGGAAAAGGGAGGGGTGGGGAGGGGGGAAACTGCTAAGGGACTCACTCACACCAAAATTGTGCAAATTATTGTACAGCAGCAGCAGTAGAAAAATGAAAATAAAAATAGAAATCGTTGCATACTTTTGAAAATGAAGTCATCGAGCTGAGAGTCACATACAGAACTAGTTCTGTCTCTCTCTCACTCTCGCTCTCTCTGTGTGTGTGTGTGTGTGTGTGTGTGTGTGGCACATGGAACCCTTAATTAAATAAATTCAATATGCGCAACGGGCGGCAGACACCCAGCCACCCAACCACCCAACCACCCAACCGCCCAGCCACCCAGACAGCCTCCTCAGCCCGCGCTCCCCTTTGCGGCGGGCAGCTCGAACCAACTACAAAATTATATGGCGAAAATGTTCCGTTGGAAATCGTCATGGATTTTAATATTTAAAAGCGTTTTGCACAAAACTGTCCCAGCAAGTGCCACACACACACACACACACACACACACAGAGTGAGTAGGGGTTGGGGTAGGGGTTAGGGGATGGCAGGGGGCGAGCGTGTGCTGTTGACCAGCACGTGGACTGACCAAAAAGTGCCGCAGTTCAGAGGCCAAACGCATCGACTGCGCCACATCAGCCATGTCCCAAAGAAGCCACCCACCAGCTACCCCTGCCCCCCTCCCAGCCTCCCCACACCCCACACACAAGCCCACCCGTTCGACAGGCAACATTTTGATAAGCGACGTCCGTGTCCAGTCCGTGTCCTGTGTCCGTGTCCATGGCCGTGCCCAAGTCCCCGACTGCCCCCACTGCCCCCACAGCCCCACAGCCCCATCAGCGCCAACCGCCCCAGCAGCCAGCAAAGGATATTATTTAATGAGCTAAACTTAAAGCGTTGGGCGCTCCACTGGATTGCTTTGTGGGCGGAACGAACTCCACTTTCGACTGACCAAATTGAGTTGACCTGTTTCATCTGTGTGTATCAGTGTGTGTGTGTGTGTGTGTGTGTGTGTATGTGTGTGTCTGTGTGTGTGCTGCATAGTTTTTGGTGGCCAGACTCAGTCTCGCTTGGCTTGCATATTCAATTGAAGCCAAGAGCTGAGAGCGCTCTATACACTAGACTCCTTTGCTCCTTTGCCGCTTTACCCCTTCACTCCTTTACCCCTTCACTCCTCTACTCCATTGCTCCAGTTTAGCAGGGGTCAGGCGTGTGCGTGATTAAAAATTCAACACCCGAAACGAATGTGGAATTGAACGGCAAATTAAATGAGCTCTCAGCTGGACGGGAATGGAACTGGAACTGGAACTGGAGCTGCAGGAGTGCAGGGGGTTGAACTGGAGTGGGCTTAAACCTAATGGCAATTGCTGACTATTCAAACTCTCTTCTCTCTCTCTCTCTCTCGCTCTCTCTCTCCCTCTCTCTCTCTCTCCCTCTCTCTTGCTCTTCCCTCTATTTCCAACTCCTGCTCACCCATTGATCAATTCTTATTTCATATATTTATGAAAAGTCTCAGAGCTTCTGAGCTGGATTGGGCTGGCCTCGCAGTGAAAACCCTTTACTTAAACCCAATGGCAGCTGCTGATTATTCAAACTCGCTGCCTCTCTCTCTCTCTCTCTCTCGCTCTCAATCTCAATCATAGATAATCAATTATTTTTTTATATATTTATGACAAGTTTCAGCTTCTCATTTCCAGCTGAAATTTGCTCTTGACAATATTTCTGCCTCACATTCTATCAAATTGATGTCTAACTACACCGCGGGGCAATCAAATAGCACCGTTTGCACATTCAATATTCATGGGCTGAAGGCGCAGTTCAAGCTCACTACAATTGACACATAGATGGCGCTATGCAGATCACGCTTGCTGCATGGTCAATCCAATTAGATTCTAATTCCGCTGTAAGCCAACCCAATTGGAATGCTTTCGTATGCTTTTAGGACTTTCAACATTTATGCACGTGTATTTGAGGTGAGATATTCAACAGATCGACTGTTGAGAATAGAATATAATACATGCATGTATATGTACAAATATGGGTATACACATACATGTCATGTATATATATGTGTGTGTAAGTGTGTGTACATGTATATAAAACAAGCACGTTAAACAAGATTTTGCCGCGTTGATTTCAATCCGAAAGTTTGCGTTTCCCGCTTAACCCGAGGCGACGGTAGTCGACGTTGGTGGTGGGCAGCGGTCGTCAGGTGGTGGACCCGACGGCGGCGGTCCACGAGGCGGCGATCCACTGGGCGGTGGACCGCACGGACCCTGTGGTAGGGCGATCTGGGAGAGGGAGAAAGAGAGAGAGAGATAGTTAAGTTGCTGCAGGCTAGGATTATTTTTTGTATATACACTCTTCACACTCACCACTAGCGCCTGGCCACAGATCAGCAGCATGAATAGGCTTATATAGTGGGTTAGGCTTAGACGCATCTCCACAGCTTTGTTTCCAGTCGAGAAATGCAGTACCATGCCACGACGTGATTCGCTTAAATGCTGAATTCGCGTTTGGGCAGCCTTCCATGTCAATATGCTAAAAGAGAAAGAGAGAGGGAGAGTGTGAGGGAGATAGATTCGGCTGTAGTGTGAAAATTTGCGAGCGACAATTATTAATTATCGCACTCGTCCGATCACAGTCCGATTATTATTATATATACGTATATGTATTTATATAT